ATATCTGCGAGACATTCACAGGTAATAAGCATGTTTGGAATAATACTACAAAGTGTGAAGAAAATATTTGTTTGTTGAAATCACACCTATTTTGCCACAAGAAGGTACGTTGTATTGATTAGTGATTAAGGCGTAACCAGTGTCATGTGGTAACCTCTGAATGCTAATGATGACTAACTGCTCATAATCAGATATGTAGCGTGAATTGTCGTCGTCCGAATACCACAGTAACAACATGTCTAACTAAAGTACAAATTTACGCAGGTAATAGATTTAGAGGGGATATCAATCCTTTCGAGGTGGCAGATAAGCTCTGTTGTGGAGAACTAGTAAGCAGGAAGACAAGAATTTAAGAAGGTATGATATGAAATTCCCATCTGAACAACCAGTTGTAAGTGTTCATAATTGATTATCGACTAGTTTTGTAAATTTATGCTTTACCTGGCAACCGTTGGAAAACAACCACTGTGTACTAGACATCCGTTTCGTCCTAGTTCGGAACGCTTCAAGAGAACGTGTCCGCCGCGAGGGTTCGAACTCATCATCATCTTGTTACGGGGCTCGCTCGCAGACCATCATGCCAATGTGACCCGTTTCAGTGACCAAGCGATGAATTCCAAGTCCTGCCGATTCACTATATTTCGTCGCCACTTATGAGTACCATCTCTGGAGAGTATTTGTGCTCACCATCAAACTGCTCCACCCTACTAATTGACTTAACATTGGTGTTGAAAATCCAGAATTTTTCTTTGTGCTGAGTAAAACAGATTTCCGAGCTGACTTCAGACTGATGACTGTCTATCTTGCCTTTTCAGTCCTGTCTAACTTTGATATCCCCGTCCGTGCCGCTCGCCCGTAGTTGAAATGATGTCACCTAGATAGGTGGAGGGAGTGACCTCTTTTAATTTTTTTCTGTTGATGGTGATTGGTGTTGGTAGTTGTTGCGTTGTTTGGCTACAAGGATCACCTCTGTCGTCTCTATGTTCATATAAGGATAAAATTTGGGCAATGTGGCAAAGAATAATTCCATTATGGAGAAAATATTGTTTCTGACAAAATCACACAGTGTGGTACAGCATTATTTATTGATGACGTTTCGAGCACAAGTTATTGCTCATAATCATATCTAAGTACTCATATAACTTTCTTGCCTCGTTTATATACATGAGGAAAAATTGACAGGACATGTTTACAAACGAAGCAAGAAGGTTATGTGAGTACCTAGATATGATTATGAGCAATAAATTTTGCTAGTATTATCGTCAGTAAATAATACTGTATCACACTGTGTGATTGTATGAAAAACAATATTTTTTCCATAATGGAATTATTCTGTATGTTCACTTGAAGTCCTGCATTTTCTTCTGCTATACTCATCTTGTTGCTTTTCACCTGCAGATGTTCGAATTTCCGTAAAATTCGACATAAATCATTTGCGAAATTCAGATCTTCTGGAATCTTCTTATCTGCCTAGCGCATTCTTGTCTTCTCTCTACCCACAGTGCATTTCAGTCGATTTAGGAAATGGCATTGTTTTTCAGAAAGTGTCTGGATACTCTTGGTCTTGAGGACAAATCATGTTCTCCTCACCTACAAGTAAGATTACGAAATCTACAACACTTTGTACTTTATTAAAAGCGATATGTTAAGGAACAAAGTAAACGGGCTCAAAATTCCAAAGGACCCAATTTAATACAATAATGTCCTGTAATTTGCATTCATTGACTGTTCTCATTTCTCAGGATTAGTAAAACAAATGTGCATAGGAAATCTGTCCTCAGAATATCAAGAAAAAATTCTCTAATAATAAACTAGCATGATACTGTAAAAGTAGTAACTGAATAGATGGATTTGAGAACAACACAAGGGGTCGTCATATCCTAATAATAATAATAGTAAGGCTTTATTTCAGGCAATATGTGAACATATATTACAGAAATTTTGAGTGGATTTAATTACAAAATATTCCCCTTTTATACAGAAATCAGGTGTAAAATAAAATTCTGAAATATATTATTTGTCATGGTGTTGCTGCATATGGGGAGACACCCAGTTATATACATTTTTTCTATAATTCCTTTGAAAATCGCACAGCATATGCAGGTAAACTAATTAAATATTCGCGCGAGTTCATATATTGGTCATTTAATATGATTAAAACCATTAGAAGTGCAGAAGAGTTCAGGCATTTTAATAGACAGTGTTTTATGGAGGTCGGATATTTTCTGCTTTATAGACTGTTATTAACTTTGCAGTCGGATAGCTTACATCGGTATATGTATTCAGTAAACAATTACATAATGAACTGTTTTCATCACCTTAGAATGGCAGTCTTTCACACAAAGGAATAAAGTATATCTTGATGGACTGTGTGGGATATCTATCGTAGTTGTATAAGCTTTTCCAAATTTATTTTTCATCACATCTTCAGGCCATAACATGGTTGCCTTTGAAAACAAATTCTTGACCAGATTTCTTTAATATTCAAGTATTGGTTTGTATGTGTATATGTAATCAAGATCCCGAAACTCTCTGATGGCAAATATTGACCCTTCTATACAGATAGATGATAATTAAACTTAAACGTAGTTATGTTGTCCTATAGACCTCAGAAGAATCTGTAGACATTTGAGGATATTCACTATCAACGAAGAACACTAATACTAATTTTATGAGGATTTAATGTAAAACAAACAAGTTATCCATCTCACCGAAAATTCAGTTTTCTCTTCCAGTTGAAATTAAAATCAATTGACAATGCCTCTTAGAAGGTTTAAACCAGAATGTTAGAAATTCTTCCTGATTATTAAGACACTCGATGAAGTAATTAATAACTGAAGTTTTCTACTTCATAACATAATTCTAAGAATGCTTATCGCCATCTCTTCAAGTAGCCTGAATCAATCTGTCAATGTCTTGTTTAAAATCATAATTCATATTAACACGAAGAGACATTTTGTTAAATATGTATATATTAGATATGTGAACATATAAAATTTACAAGGAAAAGCTGGTTTTAAGTTAATATAACAAGCAGTTTAAATAAAGTAATGGGTACATAATTAATTACAAAAATTCAGGATTGTTACTGTCCATCATACAACACGTACTTTTCATCTTCTCTTATTCTGGAAAACAAAAAGCATTATGAAAATGATAAAATCTCGGTTCATGGACATAGATATATTATTCAACTGAAACTGTGGTGGCACATATTGTCATTATACCACATTTTTATCAGCATTTAACTTTGTGTGCTCACCTATATTGTCTTACTAGAAATATTCGAATGAAGATAAGTTACTCAAACAGGCAACCACAGTTTTGGAATGCACTCTCAAATTATTTGTGTTTGTGTACATTCATCCCATTTGACATTATATAACTGTGTATACTATTTGGGATTAAACATCCTCGTACCCTGTCCAACTGTGATTTTGAATTTACGTATCCCTATTTTATTTTTAAAGCAGTTCTGGAAGATTCTGAAATCTTGAAATCCAACTTCCAATGTGGTAAATTTTATTCCACTAAGCAATTAAAGACATATACACATATATATATGTCCATACCAAGTTTAATTTTAACAGTCTGAAAAAATTTGGGCATTGGGTACAGAATATTAATTACTTTTAAGTGTTTCCGTATTTCTCAATGAATGAAAAGGGAAACGATATGGTTACTTTTCCTGACTTCTCGCTATTTAATGCCGCTAAGAGCTTTGTCAGCAACGAAAGCAGAACTACCGGTGAACATCGACCCTCCGACGAAATCAGAAGTCCTGAATGCAGTCAAGGTGCTAGAGAGCTGGAAAAGCAGCAGGACCAGATGGAATCTCAGCAGAAGCATTGAAAATAGACCCAGAGACAACAGCGAACTTGATGGAGAAGGTGTAGAAGGAGGGCAGAGTACCCGAGGATTGGAAGAAAGGATACTTATTCAAACTACCGAAGAAAGGAGACTTAAGTCAATGCAAAACCTGGCACGGTATTACGCTCCTGTCCATCCCAAGCAAAATACTAAACCGCATTATCCTGAAGAGAATCAAACAAGCCAAGCTGGATGAAAAACTTCGACCAGAACAAGCTGGATTCAGGAGAAACAAGTCATATATTGACCAAATCGCCACACTATGGATCATCATTGAACAAAGCTTGGAATGACAATCACCTCACTATCTCAACTTCATCGACTTTGAAAAGGAATGAAAGGATATAATAATAATCGCTTTGTCAAAGTAGTAAAATTGAACCAGAATTTACAAAATCTCAGCTTTCATACAACAACCAAATCATCGTTCTTCAGCAAGAGGTAAGCTATAGCTGTAAAGTTTGCGAAATGGTGAATAGAACAAAATGATGTGTAAATTGTTGGATTTGAAGGCGTATAAAATTTCTAAAAAATCCGAAGCACAGTCTTAAAGTCTGCATTACTGTCCTGTAAGTCGATAGATGTGTCAAGATATAGTTATATTTTAAATGTACATAAATTTCAGTTAGTTACAGTAGTAACAGTATGGCGCGTTCTGCTGATAAGATTTATCGCTGGTATATAAAGAGACGTTTATCTGCAAAAGAATGTCAAATAGCGGAGAGATGGATTTCACGTGAATGAGAACAAGCAATTCAGCGTTATCGCAAGACATGGGACACGAAAAGAAGTCAGAGAAACGCAATGCGAAGGCTAAAAGTAGTCCAACATGGAAGATTTGGTTAGTAAATGACGACTTCCTAAAAAGGTATATGCAGTCTTGCTACATAGAGATGACAAATTCCAAATAAACATTCCCTCACCAAGCCTCCTGTTTCATACAGTTACGATAGTAGTATTTAGAAACCAAAAAAGGGTTGATTTTATTATGTCAGCCTCAAAAATATAAAATAAATTTCACTACATGTTCGGCTTCTAAATTTAATACTCCAACCAACTTTAAAATACACACGCAGACACACAATCTGTCAAGATCACTGCTTGGTAAATCTACTCGTAGCTGTCCACAGTCAACGAGAAATATTTCCTCTCATTGAAGCCTGAGTTTGAGTCCTTCCCATGACAAAAAGAGAACTAGACGTAATATAAAAACAATTATCTTCCATGTAAATGTTTCTTACTCCACAAACTTCATTTGGTGGGGGACAGATAGCCTCCCCAGTAATCTGCTTCGATTGAATTCTTGCTACACCTGATTGACAGGGAAACGCTTGTCCACCGACAACTACTTTGAGACCATCAGAACAAGAAATCTGTAAATGTTTTAAACAAAAATTGACAGAAATTTATTCCCTTTTCTGATTTATTATATATATATATATACTCACCAAGGAGTACACAAGAAAGTAAATATCCACAATACTTCTGCTCCACAGAGCGAGGTAGATCACATATAAGAGATTTTAATGATAATAGTAACTTAATTATGAACAATATATTCAAATACAATACAGAGTTTTCAACTTGGTGTAATTGACTCCTTAAATAGAATCTTCAAGTGAAACACTCATCTACATTATACCGTTCGGTACAAGGAATTTTGTTTCTCGCTCCAGCTTGCTCCCACCCCTGATATATTTGTCACTTCAGTGCAAACCAAGTAGTATGTTGAAAGCCATTCTAAGTGTACAGATTCTTCTTCAAATACGTAGACGGATGGCCAGAACAAAGTATAACTGAGGACGTTCGAGGCATTGTGTTCTGTGGAGAACTAAGTAACCCAGTAGTTTAAACAGATCACCATTTATCTGCTAAATACAATGATCTTTTAGCACTTCAAAGATATAACAATAGACTGGGAGGATTCTTGTGTCTTTGAGCTGATAAGAGAATATCACTGGTTTCTGTCTGACTACAAAATATCACCATAATGTGGCTGGATTATTGAAAACATACCTGATGACAAGTTGCTTTGACTCGAGCATCTCTTGAAACCATCCCATTCATTTTGGCTTCCCAAGCTCCTTTATGTCTAATGCATACTGAATTATTGCCGAAATCTTGACCGAACATGTTTCCTTTTTGAGCTGCAAAGAAAACACAATGTTAGTAAATTTATTATAAATAAACTCTGATTAATGATATTAACTGCAGTATTCATAAGTTAATAAAATTCTAAATGTAATTCACTTTTATCATATGAAGCTCCCTCTGGAGTCTTAGGTGGTTAGATTCAGTATACGAATATTAAGTTGAAAGTATTTACCCTATGATTTTGAATGGAAGCTACAAGAAGCAACAATGTAATCTTAAGAAAACATTTATTTTTAATAAGGCATAGAATCCTGACTAAGAAGTTAACGCCTGGCAGTCACATGGAATGAAAGTCTAATCACCAGTTTTGATATTTCCTAAGACAACTGTAACAAAGATTCGGTAATCAATGGATTCTCTTTACATATATATGTATATATTCTTCGTCTAATGGAAATGGATTCGGTAACCATTAGTTGAAGAGTTAGTTGATAGGTAACATGCTTGAATGCCACATTTTAAAAGAGTGTCAGCTGGAAACTGGGAAAAACATTCACGTTCTTTCGATGTCAAATATATCCCAAACATGCCAACGGAAGATCAAATCGCCCAGCTAGAGAGGATAAGCAACATGGAACTCTAGGAACAAACCAGTCGAGAACCTATTGCCCAACAAATATTCTGAGGGAAGGTGAGATTTACCAGGCATACACTGAGAAGGCAGTCGAATGGCATTACCTGTCATGCACCTGAGTAGGTGCGAATGGGCGACCGTTGAGCGTCCAAGGATGGTATGGAGGAGGCAATGAGGGCTCATGTACACTCGTGGGCATACTTGAAGAGGGAGGAGTGGAGACAACATGGTGAATCGGAGATGTCCTTCTGATTTCCTATGTTCCATTGGGAACTTAAGGGAATCGTAATGATAATAACAATAACAATGCAATTAACTTTGAGTAATACAGATTTGAAAAGGCTTACCATGTTGTCTGTTTAAATCATGGTTACAGTATGTCATCAGAGGCTCTTGAAAGAATGTTTTCATTGGCTATTCGTCCATAAAGTGAGTCAATAAAGGAAGGAAAAGATATTGAAATATGAATATTTAAAGCGCATAACTATTCTTACAATATTTCTCAAAATTCTACCTATCTGCTTCAAACTGCAGAAAGTTCGAAATGTGTTTATTCAATCAGTCTTTCAAGCTATTATTCTACTATTTTCGTAAGACATTATTACTTGGTGAACGAGGAATTTTCCAGAACACTTCACTGTTCACAATCATATCAAATGTAACCACATACCTTTGAATTCTTATTTTTATAGTTATATTTCTCACCTCCCAATCGTCGAAAAGATGGTCGAATTTCTCAGACGTTGGGGACGAATGCTGAATCATGTGTATTGCACACATTACCAACTAATTTTTATAAATAAAGATTCATTTATGAATCTGTCGCTCAAACCTGCTACATCAGATTTTAATACTGTCACTTTTTAATGTCACATTCTATGTTTGAATGAAACTGAATGTAATGTCATAGTTGAGTTATTTGCTATATTTTTTATCTTATTTGTATGTAATAGATGTTGCACTCCACTGAACTAATTGGCCCCGTTCTGCTATGTGGATCTATGTCTCGGACCTGACAATCATTACAAGGGACTGGATATATTAGATTTTCTATAGTTTGGTTTGTAAGGGTTTGTTATGTTTTTACGAGTGATTTTTACCGGTACTCTCTGGTATTCAATGGTTCTCTAACTGATATCAATCCGTGATCAACTCGTAAAAACATAACAAACCCTTACAAACCAAACTATAGAAAATTAATCTGATTCTCGCTAGTGACTTGCTACAGGTGGGAGTTTCCTGAGTTCTAGTGAGGAGTTGTGACCAGTGAGGTCCAATTAGATATCACGTGTGTGGATGGATGTCCCACCAACGATAATGGTTGGGGTCGCGCTAAATCACGAATTGGTCAAAGTTAGAATTCATGAGTTGGCCAGTGGCTGAATGGTATACGAGCCAGCTTGCCTTGTAACCGGAAGGTCCTGGGTTCGAATAGCAGGGGGTGCGTACTGCTGATGATTCCCAAACTAGGATGAAACAGCAGCTGTCCAGAACTCCCTGGTTTCCAGTGGTTATTTAACTGATATCAATCCGTTATCACCTCGTAAAAAATATATTAGATTATTTCGTTTAGTGGGCTCCACAGGATACTTTAACCAACGTAAATCATTTCTAAATGGGTTTCTGGCTTTTAATGGAACTCTTCTTCCTGCTTAGATAAGAATCCTGTTTGGGATTTCAAACGTTCCTTCTTTGTATGCAAGGAAACAAATTAACAGGCGAATTATACGACCACGTTTTATTCATATATCAATTTGGAACATGTCTAGTGGTTCAAAGAGAATTATTCTGTGGAAATAATACAAATATCAAATACTTAGAGAAATTCCATTTTCATCTAGATAACAAATTACTTCTGTAATGATTAAGGTTGATAAACATCGACATATGCTACTAAATATTATTGACCAGTATAATTTCTATTTAAAACATGCAGTGTGAAGAATACGTGATATAAGATTTGAAGGTTAAACATTGGGAACACTCACCTGAACCATTGGACATTTGTCCACCAATGTACTACTCCCTCCTTGATTAGGAATACCTTTGAAGTATTGATCAGGTGCAGGCAAACTTGTAGTAAACTGTGCAACAGCACATATTCCAAAGGCGGCCTTGTGATAACACATCACATCACTCTTCTCTTCACAATACGGTTCAATACTCTTCCCTCTAAAATATCACAAAATGTCAATATCAATTTGAATTCATCTTCCAATGAGTAAATATAAGACTATGTAATCAAAGCAAGCGTACTTCCATTGAAGTAAAAATAGTGTAATCTCCGAAAATTCACTATGACACTGATCATGCATTGGATGACTTACTGTTGCTTCATTCTATTGATATACGCATAGCAGCTTTCCATTACAAAGCTACAGCCAAGTCCTTTACCGTAGTCCCATTTTTCAGCGAGTGAGTAATCGACGTCCCACCATCTATTATTGGAACAAACAAATACAGCTATAAGCATCCAATAAGAGAATTCATACGTGTGGAAAGAGAAAATCAATTCGAGTATTACATTATGTATCATTATTATAACAATTTCTGACTTTAAACGAATACGTTTTATGTAGCTGTTTATTATTCTCATCATAGCTTTATACTTAATAAATAAACACACCTATTGAAGTATGTCTCGCTCACTTACAAATAGCGCCCAGTGTAATAACGTCAAGTAGAGTTGGATAGATTTAAAGAATGTCCATTTTACGTTGAACTACCAATGAAACTCTACTGACAATTTGTGACCAGTGAAGTTCGACAGATCGGGTCTGCCGACAAATACGCGTCGATGATATTGGCTAGTGGTTAGCACCACTGAATTCTGAAACAAGTTGCTATGTGATCGACAAGTTTAGTTTCTTAGCCTGAAGATCCTGGATTCGATTCTCATTGCAGTCATTGGCACGTACTGACGAAGAGTCACAAACTAGGACGAAAAAGCTGTCGAGTACTGCCTCCTGGGTTTCAGTGGTTCTCTAGCTGGTATTAATCCATTACCATATTGTTTCATCTATCAGTAAATAACTATTCAACACGCCTATTATGGTTGAATGTTTAGACTATATCTCTACGACTGGGCCACTGCGTCGGTGGCACAGTGGTTAGGAGCCTCGCCGACCATGCACATGCTCCGAGGTTCGATCCCCTGCCGACGCACACCTGATATCTATGGTCGGCCTGAGAAATTTGGGCTACCGATATCACATGCTGAAATTCCATACCTGTGCCAAAGATACGGTGTGGAATCAAGCTGTAAATCAAAAATTAAAAAAAAATAATACTGAGTTTACTTGGCGACAAATCAACTTCTTTCTCATGTTTATTGAATCATGGTTTAACTAATCATTTAAACATGAAGAAGATGGATATAATTCATTGAGATTCTTGTACTGAATTTCCTGCGGATCAGTTTTTTGAAACGAAATCTTCCACTACTGACGCTTCGATTACGGTTCCAATTTAACATGATCTAATATAGTCGATGCGAGCCAGAAGTATAATTCACGACACTTATTAACTGCTACTCAGGACTCATCAGTTGGTTTCGTCTTCATGCTTATTAATCCATGGCGCTCTTTTTGAAACTTGAACCTAGAATTTATCTTTTCAAACATAAAATACCATCATGGCAGCAATAAGTTATTGTCAAAGAGTTCGGATTAGGAGCCAACATTTCAACAAAAGTTGAATAAGGTCAGTCATCACGAAATTCAAAATAATAATTACAAGAGATAACAACTATTGCCTAATGCATAAGGATGCCCTAAAGGATAATATTCAGACATTCGAGACGATAAGTCCTGGATTCGAGTATCACTGCGAAAAGCATCACCCACTTAGAATGCAGGCACATTTATATGGTCAGTCCAAAATTGGTCAAGTCTTCCGACCTTAATAAAACTGCCAGCCATTATCGACCAAATGAAATGAGTAAAAGATGTCATTTTAATACTCATCCCTATAGAGGTTAGAAATAATTTTCCCTCTGTGACAGCATTCTGCTAACTGTGTAGCATACTCAGTGAGCTAGAAAAATTTTACACTCACAATTATATGAAGCATAAAGAAAATGAATATATATTTCGTGAAAATTCACTTGCAAGATCAAAAGCTTTTCATCTTTTAACTCACCCAGAATCCTTGAAGAATGCAAGTGTCAATCGTGATGCCACTGTCTTCACGCCAGTTACACCTGCCATAATTTCATCCTATAATAAAAAGTGTTGAGGCATTTAGAATAATTATTGCGTTAACAATACTTCATTAAAATAACTCAATTATAAATGTTTTCAACCGAATTGCAGCGATTTTTTTGAAATAGTTTGGACACAGTCGGCATATAGTAGATAAACAGACCGTTTTCGGTCAGCCAGTCAGACACAAACAATCGACGTCAATAGAAATAAATGAAACATACTGCTTAAATTTCAGAGGAAATTGTATTAAACAGCACTGCGAATTGACAAAATGAGCAAGAATCTTGACATGTTGTCGTCTTGCTCTAATCGAAAATTCGATTCAAGTTCTGGTTGATTTTACGCCAGAGGTGGAGTGTTGAAATCATCGGACTACCTAAATTTCTATCCAGCATAATGCACAAACTCTTCTCAATTCCTTATCATTTCAATCATCTATTAATATTTCTGGATTGTCACATGAAACCGTGCATATTTTTACTTTGTTGCTAATCATAATGCAGAGCACTAATCAAAGGAAATGTGGGGAAAATATCGTTTACCATTGGATATTACTTCAGATGGAAGAACATAGAATCACACGACGTATTGCTGAATACTGTGTAACAACAATAATAAACACATCTTCAAAATAATAAAAAAAATTTCAGGTTATTGACTTACTCCAACTACCCGTTTCTCAAAATGTGTTCCAACAGTTCCTTCACCACCTTCATTCTCTATATCAATCCCATCCAGATTAGGACAGTTATAGTGTTTACGTCCTTCAGCCTTGTCAAATGAAGTAAAATAATGCCTTTCAACTTTGAAGAGAAATCAACGTTTGTAGATTTGTGAAATTATATTTTTCAAAATACAGAAATGAATCGATATGTGGGTAACATTTCGGAAGAGGATTTTATATGTACTGAACCTAGTATTGGATCTGAATAAGATTAGAGAATTTCTGTTTGACTTCCGTAAACCGTACAAATGGGAGTTAAGGAAATGTGATGTTACGCAACATACTTTATACTAGGTTTGTAATCACAGTTCATAACCACCAACAGGTGCATATTAGGGCACTACTCAGTCATGTTTATTCCAGCAGTTATAAATTTGGTCTATATCATACAATACCAGTACAGACCGAATTATCTTACAAGAACAGATTTACTGTATATGCGGATCCAACTGTTTTTCTGTACTCATTAGTCTAGCCTGGGCTCACAGCTTTCTAAAGACCAAGCTAGTCTATAGCTGCTTCATTCGACAAGATAGAAGTTTCTAGCTCATGATCAAGCTGTGCAACCGATGAAATCCTCAGAAATGAAAACACTGGAAAACTTATCTAATCATCACTTGCGATTGATCGCAAAGTGAAGTTAAGTGAAATTTTAGTGATGAGCCATGACCACAAGAGGTTCAACAAGTCAAATTGGTGGGAGATGATGGTCGATCAAATTGGCTGGAGATGTCGCCATACTAAGACTTGGCGAAAGTTAGCATTCATCGACAACTGGTTTCCATCCCAGTAACTAAATCGTCAGCGGGCAAACTCGGAGATATTGAGTTCGATCGACTGGCTGCGCACTAGTAGAAAGAGCTTACACAGCAGGAATCGGTTGTCCAATACTAAATGGATTTCTATGGTTCCTCGACCGATTTCGTGATCACCTACTGAATTCACCGTAATCAGAGTGCTCGAAATTATAGTTCTGAAAATAACAGTTCATAGTTCTCAGTGTTTCAGTAATTTTCATTTTGTTAGTAACATCCTGAATATGTTTAAACTGGGTATAACTCTGAAGTCTAGTGCCAGTTCCCCACCCACAAGCATAATAGGTTATTCCTGTTTATCTAACGTGATATTTCAGAAAAAGTCATAACATTTCTGTAAGTAGACATACCAATAGTTGTGGAGTGACAAAGGCTAAAAATTGTTTGCTGAACGATCCCACAGCTGAAATCCATGGACGATTGATGAGTTTAACAGTACTCTCACTAGAAGATAAAATAACAAAACACAAAGCAGAAATTTCTATTTTCATAAAGATGAAAGACAATGTGCGCCAACTAGAACTACAAAATTATTTGTCCTTTTTCTTGTAGCAAGAAGTGGTCGTCCACGTTTGTTACATTTCGGCAGAATATACGCATGAGCACATAGGGGATCTATCTCAGGACATTCAATTACAATGAGGACTCATTCACCATTCAACAACTGAGATGTAACTGCTTCGTAGCTTACAGGGACAGAAATCAACTGATTTTTATATTAGTGATATTCGAATATCAGTGAAACTTCTGAATAGGGTGGACTGGATCACTCAGGGATCGAGAAGACTCGTTTAAATCGCGTCGACAAGAAAACTCTAAGATATTTGCACTTCGCGAGTGATTGATGTTTAATGACGTAGAAATTGGAAGATGTACATGATAAACAAGATCAACATGTTGTCACAAGTAACAGGCAGCAAAGACAGGATTTCAAGAGAACATTGAAAAACAGAGGTGATAAAGGTAACCAATCCAAAACAGCGAGCACAAATCATTATCAGCAGGAGAAATTAGGAGGTGGTCGCCATTCCCACTCATTCAGGCAACATCAGACGACAGCATGGACGAACTTATCAATACCACTTGAGGTCGGAGATGCAAGACAAGCTTTCATTATTCTGAAGTCAGTGCGGAATCAAGATGCAATCAGCATAAAGTAAGCGATTGGGATTTCCATCGCTAATGTCCAGTCATTCACGGCTTCTATATGATTCAGAGGTTTTACATAGACATAAGGAATCTGCTAAATACTTTCATCAACAGCCACCTTCATTGACTCTCCACTGAAGAGTAGATGTTGCTAACCGAAAGAATAAGCAACAGGGAACTCGAGAAACGAACAAACCAAGGACCTGTTGCCCAACAGATATACCGAAGAAAAGGAAGATGCATTGAACAAACGCGGACATCGCGCAACAGTCCCTTGAGTAGAATCTGAAGAGGAAATAATGAAACGGGCATCCAGAGTTGACATGAAAGAGATCGTATAAAAAAGCAGCTGAAAGTCTTTGGGTAGTTGTGAAGCAAACTATGTAGGAGGATTGCAAAGAACAGGCTGAAGTGGAGGTGTGCTGTTGAAGCTCTATGTACCACTCTGAACCTACGGCTATAATAATCATCATAGATTATTAAGAAATAAAAATTGAGTTAGGTGAGTAAAATTCATGTCTCATTTTGACCGCCCACCTCCATAACGGAAAATTCCATGACGTCAACAAATCTATAGCTTGAAACAGGGGTAGCAGTTATCGTCACCAATACATCCCAACAGAGTGTTATTTGTTGAACACATTGGATTGTTGTCTTTAAAGTGAATGCATTCATGAAAACACTAATAGTTTGAAGTATCCGCTGTTTACACACAGTTCATCATGACATCATTCGTGTTGAATTTATTACCAAATTAGATTCTTTTATTCATCCTTAGGGATTTGAGTACTTCACTAACACACTCATGAATAGGTTAGCATTTTAAGTAAGTAAGGCGTTTGCCTTTTAAAATCAGTTGTGGTGACTGACTATTTCCATCGCCGCATTGTTTAAATTTTCATTATTATTTCTATTTATTATGGTGAATACAAACTGTCGAATTCTCACCTCTCCGTGTTAATTTCTAGTTTACTGGCATTCGGCCACCACGGATTACAATTTCAAGGATGTATTACATCCAGTTTCTCATCTTTTCATCATCAACCTTTACAAAACGCCTGAAATTTTACTTTGAAATTTATCTGGACAATAGAAGTTTACAGGGAAGGAAAGCTGCCCTACCTCGGTACAAATTGTCCGCGATCATTCCTCGGCGGCTTGCCTGTTTTCGGATCTCTCGGTGTTCGGGGATTACCATTTTCGTCACGCATTAAAGCATAGCTAGTTTTAACAAATCCCTACAGATTAATTTAGAAAATGAAGGCAGATATAAAATTATTAGTATGACAATGAATTCATCAATCACTATGGTGAGGCGAAAATGGATGCTGGAATAAATTACTTTTTCACAAACGGCATAATGATATCATAGTATTACATTCTGATGATGTTTAGAGCATATTTCATTTCTCAAATAAACATGAAGAAACATAATGTTCTACTTTCATTTGTATATATATATATATGTATATATATTGTCGTTCCTTACTTTTATACCATCATAAAAATATTATTACTAAGGATTGTTGGACGAAATGTACATCTGTCAAGTAGCAGTAGCTAATAGAGAACCATCGTATGTTTAACCAATGTAGTTAATGAGCTCACTACTATGCAGTAGTGTGGAGGATATTGCAGTTCGATATAAGATGTTACTCAGGAATCTCTGTCTAGTGCCATCTTCTGACTTGTAAGTTTTTGCCAGCAAACCATCATTTCACTGTTTTACCTTCCTAGTGAAACACACAGACTTGACCTAGAGCTACGAAGTTTCGGTAGTAATGGTTATCGTGTTTACAGGGTATGATTGCTAGCCTCATAACCAACATTCCCTCTTTAACAGTCTCACTACTGGATTAGCGAGGTGAAACGAATGCGTCCGACTGGATTCAAACTCCGAGCCACATACGTGGTTGCTGCGCATTCTAACATCAAGTCACCGATGTACGAAGTAATGAAAACAAATGTATTCATAAGATTTGTGCATATTAAGAGTCAATAAATTATTCGCTGAACGCAACACCATGTAATTAGGGTTTTCTGTACATTAGTTTTAAGGAGAAACTGAGGGGAACAAGATGAATACGGTGACTGAATTGCCAGTGTTTCAATCCAATACAAGATAAACTCATTCAGCAGTTGATTTACTTAATGCTCTACATGCTAAATCAACTAATAACTTCACTGCATTGTGACCAGTCAAAAAGTGTTTTTTGACCCACTTACACTTGCATTTTCACTTATTCATTGGATTTATTTCCCATACAGACTATTCGGACAAATACCCTAATGTCTTCAAATAAATGTTTACTCAAAGTTTAATGGTAAAGGAGTCATCGATGTGGACTCCATCATCAACTGACGACAGGACATGCTCTCAATCAGAAATGCTGATGTGAGATTGTGACCATATTCACGCTACATGAAATCGTTCATGTTGTAGAAGAATAACCTCTGAAGTCATTAGAATACTTCTTGACTTCCCAGAGAGTGTAGTGACACATTCTTGGTTTGAAGCCAAATGAGGACACTAGACATTTTCTAAAACTAAGATACAACCAGCTGATAAGTATCAGGTAGCACAAAACAAGTCATCGGGCTTTCGATTCGAACCACATGAATGAAACCTCAAAAGAAATTAAATTCACTCGATATGAGATTTACCTTTTCTGCCCTTTTAAGAAGTATGCAAAATATCATTTCTGACAACTGGTTAGGAGATTCTAGTCACTTACCAAAGCATGCGCTAACTCATGAATAGCCGTACCAACCAACATCGTCTTTCCTGGTTCATCGACTTCCATTTTCTGTGGACAGAAGTTGATTGATCCCATAATTGGTCTGAAGCATTCCGAAAAGAAGGGGATATTAACAACAAGCAAAGTCAAATCAATCAAAAAACCTCTGCTCTCTGCTTTTCAAATTTTCGCTCTCTCTGTCTATATGTATATGTCTACATGTGCGTCGGTGGCACAGTGGTTAGCACTCTTACCGACCATGTACATGGTCCGAGGTTCGATTCCCTGCCGACGCACACCTGATATCTATGGTCGGCCTGCGAAATTTGGGCTACCGATGTCCATGCTGAAAATTCCATACTTGTACCAAAAATACAGTGTGGAATCAGGCTGTAATAAAAAAATAAAATAAAAAATAATATATATCATCCAGCCGTGTAATAAATTAGTTGAATGCGGCAAACGAACTCCTGGTCAACACTGGTCATTCTGACTCAACAAACACCTCCGTCAAAGTGATATACAGAGTGAAGGACAACCTATCAAAACAATAAGCTCCGTCTTATCTGAGACATTCAAGTTCTACTCATTTAGAAAGAGGACCCAAAGCTATACACTGAAGGAATATTTTCCACGCAACTCTACCATAATGGTAACAATCTGCTGTTTTCCATCAATCTGTTTTTCATCAGTAACTCCTGTATTTCCCTCGAACACTTCGTTTCTGTCTGCATCATGATAACAACTCATCCGCCATATTATATATCATAGCAGGTAGTTCCAACACAAATATTCCACTACCATCATAAAGTGACTAACATTAACGACAGAGATTATGACAACTCTAGACTTTTTTCCCAACCTCTTTCGTGAAAAAGAATTTGTATGTAGATGTAAATTAACAGAGAGTTTTCACTCGAATAACTGTTCTCTTCATTAGTTTGAAAGAGTTCTCGTTGAGTTGTGTGATTCTCAATGATAAGTTCAATTCATGATGTTTCAGTTTTATAGGAGGATCATGAACAACCAAACAGCTTGGCTATAGCAAAACATGCAGTCACACACACACACACTATTTTAATGACTACGACCATTCCAAAATGGAACAGAGCAATGTAGCAGGAGACTGGTAAAACAGTTTTATTCGCTTCGAATCTACTTTGATTAGAATGATTCTGTGACTACCTTAGGCATCTGTAAAACTCCATCACTCCTACAATATATCCAGGGAAAGAATCACCACTACGAAAATCAAGTTTATCAACTGTAAAATTACACTAGATATGATAATGAGAATAAACAGTGTCCAGAAAGCTTCTCAGTAATTAATTCTGCTTCACTGTGTTCTAAAATATCCCAGTTTTGTAGACGTAAATTCTCGACAGGTGAGAAGTCTAGGCGAACGATGTTAAGCCTACTGCTTACCACCAAGTTAATAAGATAGCCAGAGAGGAATCTCTTATTATTTAGCACAAAACTTTAGTTTATTCCTACAATGAGCTTGCGAAGTTATCGGTTTTTATTTTCACTATCACTCCTGATTTCATCCTGTTTTTGAGGAAGGGGTGTGAGAGATTCAACTAAGCTGTACCGTCTCTCTGTTTCTTTGGTTTCGAGTTTCTTATGAATATCAATCAATATACATATAGATAAATAAACATGAACATTCTAACCTGTCAGTTGTTGGATGCATTTCACATGGACCAGCAAACGCCAGTGTTGATCCACTAGCACAAGCGCCTTTATTTTCACTATCGACAAATATCACATATTCATTCGGTGCAAACCCTGGACCGTCTTGATACACTTCCTTGAAATTTTTACCATCGGATGACTGAGAACATCCTTGTTGTATGACAAAAAGAAGATAAGTAAATGAACAATTAATGTGAATAACTAATGATCAGTGTGAGAGATGATCATATTCAGCGTGGAAGTAGTCTTTGAAATAATGGGGAAGATGCATAGCTCAGGTAGTTGCTTTCAATCTGCCTGTGTTCTCTGAATCAGTTCAGAGGACTGTATGACTACATCATTGTTACTATCGAATCCCTGAAATGATTGGTATATACGAAAATAAATGACTATTGTCAGAATTACATTACAAAGAGCTTCAAATAAGAAGAGAAATGTTATTCAGGTGTATTTGTTCGTCATAGATATTTGGTAAGATGACATTCGACTGACTATCATCAGGCATGATTATCTTGCGGATTTACCATCAACTGAGACTCAGTGTGACACTTTAACATTGAGTCCAGCTAAACGACCTCAATTCTCTTACTGAATCCATTTTGAAAGTAGTTTTTGGCATAGTTACCCATCTTTTGAAAGTGAAACTATCCATGTCTGTGTACACATGAAATATTATCTGATGAAATTTTAAAGAGCTAGAGAAGACTACTCATGAATACTAACAGAATCTGACAGTGAATACGTGAGTGGTTCGATCATAGGACTCTCGCCAGTCACTCATCTGTCCTGGGTAGGACTCCGCAGTGACACACTCCTTCTCAGCTCACCGGTAAGTTAGAAAGACTATTCGTCAGGCAAGCAGCCCCATCCTATGAGAAACACCAGATCCACTGAAACTTTAAACCTAAAACTTGAAGACATATGTCCCATACGGAACTGTGAAAAGCTAGACAATCTTACAATGAAGTAGAATTATCTGCATACGAGAAGATCTAGAAGTGACTTGATTTAGTAATTCAATTTAATCACCCTTCCACAAGCTACTTCATTCGCGTGCTGCAGGTATTACTGTTTTAGCAATGCGGTAGAATTATAATTAAAATTATGACATCTTGTTGGATTTTGGATTCGTTTTAGTGCAAATTTCCTCATGAAGGAATATCAGATGATAGTGAGATTATTGCGAAGCAGGGGCCATTGGTGCATTAATATAAATCCTTACAGAAACATATTGTCTCAGCATCAGTCTTCTACTTACTAACTACTAACTACTCTATGGATATCTGGAAGCTGTACTCAGAAGCCATGATCATTGGCTGACGATTCCACTATATCATGAATTGGTGGATTCAGAATTCACAAGTCACTCAATTTCAGGCCAAATGACTGAATGGTGAACCGGCCCACTCTCGTAACCTGAAACTGCTGGATCCGATTCCTGTTGAAATCAGGAGCGTGCATCACCAAAGAAATCCAAACTATAACGAAACAGCTGCCCACCAGTCTTTAGTTTTCAATATTTTCCAACGGATGTTGGTTCGTGATAATATAGAGATATAGATTTCAAAAGACCAATGTCTTTTACAAGCTTACCATTCTAATTTATGATTTGAAAGTGATTTATTTATTCTAGTGAGGAAAGGGTGTAATTTCGACTACAACAGTGGCAAGTATTATCCATTTTAGAAGCAAGTAACTAGTTGAAGGCAGAAAAGTAGAGGATATTCTCTTTATTTCTGAGGAGATTCATGTGTAATCCTCAATAAGCGTTTGATAAAAGCAGCCAAACTGTCTGACTATTCTTCACATCAAAATATGTAATCCCATTACAGGAATCTGTAGGCTAAATCATAATTGTGCATGATGAAACAAAAATGCATTTCACCTCGGGCACGACAGTGATACGAATATACAGACAAAGCGCATGATACAGCAGATGCTGCTTACTCAAAGTGAAGCTTCGGCAGTCCACTGTAAACAAAATATGTATGCTGAGCACTTTTAGCGTGCACACTGAATTCGGCGTTCCCATATCAGAGGGAAACACTGGTGAGCAGACGATGAATCAAAACCACCTTCTGCATTCACCTCAATTAGTAACCAGTCCACTGAAATTGACGTTGGCTGGCTGTCCTACCATAGAGAGAATTCCCAGAATAGCCTCTCTCAAATTATATCAGAACAATTTTGTTTCAATTTTAGTTCATGAATCATAATCTGTGTGTACTTCAGTGGTTTAACAACGCGTTGAATATTGTCAGCCACTTTCCTCTGAGAGCCCTCCAATTACAGTTCCTATGCAAAATATGGAATCACAGTGGAAACAGTTTTCAGTGGGGTTGAAAAACTCCTTAGGACGTATTCAATACTTATTATGAATTAATAATCACTATATTATTACACTGCGTGTAAATTAGCTGTAAATAAAACTTACGGAGGCGAACTGATCTGGAACGGGATGATCGTAGCATTTAGCTTGAGGTTTACACCCCTCTTTGCAAAACTTTCTGCCTGACTGTGGTTCAGTGTAGATATATGGTTCGACACATCCTCTATTAAAAGCAATGATAGTAGATACATTTATGATTCCAGGAATAAAGTTTACACTAAATAGAGACGAAGTTGAAATGTTCTTTTGATAATTTCCAATGTAAGTATACAATGTGTGAGGTCAGTGAGAAATGTTTCTTCATGTGCGTGTGTGTATGGTATGCCATTGGCATAGCTAAACACATTGATCAGCTTCCAAAGAGGATGATACCTGTATCCCAGATCCTACAAACAAATAAATTCAAGTTCTTAACACTAATAATAACCTGTCTGTCTGTCTATCCGAGTAGCCCTTTTATCAAGATGAAGCTGACCAGTGTGGTAAGCTATATCATCGGAAAGAAATAGAAATCAATGGATAATTTTAATTAACACCAGTTGCACAAAAGAGTGTTCTTCACAATCCTGTGACTCAGTGGATAACTATTAGGCGTTTCGAGAGACTTGAACTTGGTTCCAATCTCAGAGGGGAACACTGGTGAGCAGATGATGAGTCAAAATCACCTACTGCATTTACCTCAATTAGGAAGCAAATAACTAAAAGTGACATTGGCTGGCTGTCCTACCATGAAGAGAATCCTCAGAAGTGAGAATCCGTGAGCTATCGGCTGAATGGCATACCAGTTCGTCTCATAGATTGAAGCTCCTGGGATGGATAGCCCGCCGATCCTTGTGCAAGTAGAGTTGAATAGTTCCAGAAGAAAAGGGGTAAACAGCCACTCACTACTCTCTGGTTTCCAATGCTTTTATAACTCATGACTCTTCATGAACAAAATTATACTTTATATTCTGTAATGTAAATCGAAAACAAAACGGGAAAATTGGAGAACTGAATGCGTAGTTAAAAAATCCATTCTAAAATATCAGAATACAAAGTCATTGTGTGTGTACCTCTGAATCAGGAGTTTTCTGTTTGGTGGTTTCCGTACACTCAGTGATCTCGACCAGAAATTAAGCGCCTTCTCCACTATTTCAGTCTACAAGATAAAACAGACAGGTGCATTATAGAAACGAAAGTATTTTGTTAAATCTCATCGTCATCATTGTTCATCGCGTTTTCGTCGGTTAGAGAGGCAACAGATTGTTTAGGGAGGCACATTTTCTGAGGTTCCAACACGTACACTGCTTTTTGAATCTTAATCAGAAGAGTAATTTTGATGAGAGGGTTGATGAAAGCATTTCGGATGAAACTACGTAATCGGTTTTATGGATAAACAGAAAACCGAGAGGTGGGAAGCGATGATCCGTGGGTTGAATATCAATTATTTCTGAAAGTGAAAGCATTGTGTCAGATGTTGTTGCTTGGCTAAGAGTTCATTTTACCACTCTGTTATTTTTAATAACACAAACACAAATATAAGATTGTCTCACATTGTTGTTTCATCTACTGCATTCCATTAGCGCATAGAGTCCTTCCACTCACGGAGAGTTCTAGAATTTCACTTCATATTGAAGTCCTCGCTGAATATGTTGCCTAGAAAGAGAATGACGGCTTCACAGAAATGTTACTCAGGTGAGGCAACAAATTCTCACAACACCATAATATATTTCTATCAATCATCTCAGCTAGAAGTGAAAGGTGTTCTCACCCTCGAAATAGCTAATTTAATTATGCTTGAAGAAATATGAGGTGGAATTCTGAAGTAGACATTTGCACTGCCTCGAGTTCATTATCCTTACAACTGCCTTTTGCACCAGAGAATATCAGTGATTGTCAGTCGTGAATTTGTCAAGTTATGGAGATCTGGCTAACGTACTTTGAAAATTGAGGGATATAAATTCGCGAACGCGATCGTGTTTCAGTGATAGAATGCTCGTCAACCAGGTACGTGATTCAGAGTTTATTCCTCGACAGAGGCAATTCCAAATCTCGCCTTACTGATGACGTCAAGCTAGTAACCACACCACGTGAATCAGAATAACACTAGTGCTACCGAAAATACAAAGCTGAAAGCTTCAGTTCATATGTGACATAAAAAAAATGAAAGTAAGTAATTAACCATAGAATATTTGCAGCTAAATCCAAGGAAGTAGAATGACGAAAAAGGAGCTGTCAATAAATACAATTATGCGCCATCGTGAAATCAGAGTTATACACCAAAATCTGCCTAAGAAAATGAAGACGATTAAGAGAATCTTCCGTGGAGAAAACGTGAATCCTACTCAGCTAAGGCAAACAAATTGTCGACAAATATTGATTGACTTTCCACGTATTCACAAAACAAAATCTCCGCCTATTTTGACCGAAAAAAGGTAAAATATAATTCAAGAAATATATATGAGGAAAATATAAAGCATAAAAATCTGAGCAACTACAAAAGAGACAAGCAATTTTACAGATGTGACCAATCAACGTTACCTTGAATCGACCAAATAGTGGATGTCTCTGCATACTTGCGGTGTATAGGATGATGAATTTCAGTCCATTGCCACCACTTTGACGTTTTTCGACTGCTTTGCCTAAAACACCAAAGTTCTGAAGAATATGTGAGTTGCCCTTCAACAAAGAACTACGCTCTTACCATAGTTATATTCGGCATAATCTGACAGACATATTCACATTGCACGACCACAGCCAGAGCACCGATGATGCATAGCGAAAATAGAGTATTCTTTGGACAGAGCGCCATCTTCGTAATGGGTAATGCTAATGGTAATACAATACTCAAGTATTGCTGTATGGATAACTATCATTTCGTCTACTCCTTTATATACTAAAACTGTTTCAGCCTCAATCCATAAAAACGCGATTCATTTCATGAAAAACACAAACTATGTCAAAACAATACGTTTCTCAGAGTTCGTTCAGTGACCTAGGTTAAAAGAAACAGTGGCATGCAAAAGTGGCACCACTTGGAGTAGAGTATTTATGCTTGCAAATGAAATATGCCTGGTGTTATCTGATAGAAAAACTTGTTCATCTTCAACAAATACGCTGGTCAAACTTTATCACAGCAGATAGAACACATCCATCTCCCACCATCATCTGAACCTTTAAACCTTATCAAAATGTGTGTATGATTATTTCACTACTGCTAATCACTTCTAATTTTGTACTTTATCATCAATGACACTGTTTGCACTTTTGTTTTTGGTTTATTATCGTCATCGGATGTTTTGTCTTCTATGCTTCGAATTGTTTGCAAGTATTGGCAGTTGGTATTAATGATGAAGATATTTACACGGTGCATTTCACCTTCACAAAGTCTGTCTCATAAGAGCGTCTCAAAAATAAAGTGGTGAATCACAAATGTTGTGAATCGTGTTTCGTCTACACAGAAATCTGTATGAAATACCGTGTTACAATGGTCAGGGAGCCGTATTCACAAAAGGTATCATTTATGTGTGACCAACAGTTTTTGGACATCCTTCTTGATCTCCTTGCCTTCCGAGTGGAATATATGACTTCAGGTCTGACTCTTGAAGTTTCAGTAACCGTAATATTGTTAGGTAGTGTGTCGGATGTGTATCGATCCTGGCCTCAATGCGTGGTTACGGAACATTCCATCAATGAACCACCGGAGTCTAGAAGTTTTATTCTTAAATATAAATAAGCACACAAAAGGTTGGTTGTCAGTGTTATTTTCTCTAACTCGTAAACCCAACCAAGTATTATTCATCTAGTCATTGATGTAAATACTGAGTTGAGATGTTCTGAACTATTGTGCATTTCTCACTAATAAGAGGTGGTTGTGACTTTGATTTCTCCATTCAAGCCATTCGTCAACACGTCCTATTGGCAACCACGAAGACAGTGGTGGTAACGATTGCGAGTCCTGAATGCCGAATGCCTCCAACAACCAATCACTAATTATTAATCAAAGATCTACCGTTGGAAGTAAAACTGTGTACCACTGAGTAATTGACTGACTGAGATAAATAGTTGTACACTACTCACACCAAACAGTGTTGCTTGCTACCCAAATGGGAGTGATCTAAACACCCGCAACGCCGTTGAGAAATGAAGGTTTGATTTATGGTACTACGAGTTCGCCCAAGTACCTAGCCAGGGATCTGGTAGTTTGGACTAATTCGACTGCATGATTTGAGTTACACTAGGTACACCACTGTTGAGCTCGGGATTAAGAGAGTGAAAATGTCTTCTGGCGCGTAGATCACTTCGATCTGACGAGCGAGCATGACTGGCTGACATGAGTGGTATACAATTACCCACCACAGCTGACCACTAGTATGTAGTTTTATAGATGTCAAATAAAGCTGACTCCCATGCACATCATTTCGAGTTCTCCGCCTCATACACTTGCATGTTACATTCTGATGCTCACCACGAAAGAATAAACAATTGAAGACAGGATGTTTTCACATTTGAACATCAAAGATTTGAAGTCAGTGTTGACTTGATGTGATAGTTGTTTGGAAGTGAGAATAGTGAGACAGCAAGACTATTCGATAGCTTCTGGTTTTAGATAATCCCTGAATTGTCATAATAGTGATAGAGTAGTTTTGATGCAGTGTGGACTTCTCAGAGTATAGTGACATACTGCATATGATTTTCGCCTTCAATTTCATAAATACGTCTAAGTGTCTCACCAGAACAACATTAACGAGTTAGCTTAAAGGCATACTACTCATCATTACTACAGCTTTTATCACCCTTAGCAATATAACAAAAAAACTTTTTTTAGTCTACCCATAGGGATTATTACGCTAACGTCTACTGAAAACACATACACCATCACATGTCAATTGAGGCATGTTGGCATTTGCAATACATTAAATGTGGGGTTTGTTACTCCATGTTTCTTCTTCAACACGGATTCACTGTGAACCATCTTACTAGTTTACACATTCTCTTCAGGGTAAATGTGTCTCGAAAATTTGATTTTCTTATATCTTCAGATGGATGTTGATTTGATTAACGCATGAAGCAAAATTCTGTTCCGCATACTGATAATCTAAC